ATCTGGCGAACAGCAGCTCCACACCCAACACACACACACACAACCTCCCAAATTTGAGCGGGACTCGCCCGTGAAACTTAACCTTCTATCTGTGGCTTCATCAGAGTCCCAGGGACACAGATTTCAGCGCACTGCGAGGGGCTCCCCGCATTGACCGGGAGTGGACTCCGTGCAGCTATGACGATTCCCTCACGACACGGAAAGAATGCCATTCTAGCTCCTTCCCGTATTTCCCAGAAATCACCTTGCTTGGACTCATTTGGCAGGGAAACACCCAGGCGAACACCTGCTCTAGAGCTGAGCCTTCTCCATCCATCTATGGCCTTCATTTCAATTCAAGGTCAGAAACTCCCTCATTTATGTTCTGCAGGCAAATAGAACCACTTGTCTTTCTCACAGCACGTGCTTCCTGTGCTGACTTTACACCTGGCTGCATCTTACCTTTCCTGCCTTCGTATTCCCTTCGCTGATTTTTAAACCCACTTTTAAAAAAAACTGCATTTTATTGTGTTGTGTGAATTTTTATAAAGCAGCCTTAAACCGTTTTTTTAAACACAGGTGGTAAATAAATCGTACCAGTCCATTTAAAATACATAAATGTGTGACCAGGCATATGTCTGTACAAGAGTGTGCCTTCTGCCCTAGGGGGCGTGTTTCTACTCTTCCACAGCTGGGGGACAGTTCAACCTCCACGTCTTATACTGGGCTCCTTCCAATTCGCGGTCCGAGCACACTGGAAGTGCTTCGGGCAGGGTGCTTGAGCTGGTGTAAATTACTGATCAATGGTCATTTAGGGTGTGTCTTGATAGCTTGTTGAGAAAAATCACATGGTGTATGACCCCAGGGGAAATGAGTTGAACTTATCGTCCCTAGTATTTCTGCCAGGAAGGCAGATGGGCATCGGCCAGAGAGGACCAGCGCCCAGTGGGGAGTACTCCTGGCGATGGCCTGGCCGGGGACACACAGTAACTGCAGGTGGAGTCTGGTTAGCAAGCACCCTCCTCGTTCTCCAAACTCACCTCCATCTAGATTCCTGAGGCGTCCATGCACAGGGACACACCAGATGAATAGGCGCTATTACCAGCCTGCCCTTCAACCTCAAGTCCCCATGGCTTCCCTATCATTGTGCTGGACTTAGGAATTTCAGAGCTCTCTTGCCTCTAACACAAATGATGTCCTAGAGGTCATCTTAAGTGGTTTCCTCTCTCGCCCTTTCTCCCTGAGCCCACCCTGGCATCTCATCACGCTGAGGGCAGCAGAGAGAGAATGAAAGGTAAGCTGCTCTCTTCCCTAAGTCCCAGAACAAAGTCCTAACTTCTCTTCTCTGATACCCCGTGCCCTTGTGAGAGACTTGGGAAATGCTCCCAGGTCGTATGGTAACTGTGGCTTTAACCACGTCTATTTCTAATGCATGTACTCCTCCCACCAAAATCGGCCTTCCCAGTAACAATGGTTTCTGTGTTCCTGGGGCCCCACTGGTCACTGACTTTCATTAGTGCTTCTGTCTTGGAGATGGGATGGAGAGCAGAGAGAGGGGGTCTTTGAGCTTCTGCCTGAGGTTGACAGTGCATAATTCTCTCATCCTCTTGTCCTCCCCTCTCACAGGGACCTGCCTCTCTGGGGCTATAACTCTTCCTAAACTACTAATCACTTCATGCTTTTATTCTGCTAATCTTGCTTTGTCCGTGTGTTTAACAAGGGTTGTGCTCAACATTCTGTAGATGCTAAGCTTCCTTGTGAGAGTTCTTCAGAAAGTCAGGAGAACCAGGTTGGAAGCTGGGTCTCTAGGGACCTGTCCTCAGTTAACTGGTGGCCAGAGGACTGAGGTGGAAAATCACGCATCCTTATCACAGTTGATTAGAACAAAGGCATCAGGCAGGCTGTTGACACCCTCTCCGAAGCCCACACTAGGTGGTCTGGAGGCCCACGCGCTCCCACAGCCTTTTCACCCATGACACTGACCCAGCAGGTGTCAGCCGATCTTCAGGTGTAACCTCCAGGTGTTACCTTCCAACCGAAGTTCTACCAGCTCCGTACAGAATGGGCTCAGATACATCTCTCTGAACTGCAAGTACAATCCATGAAGACAAGAGGACTGGGCGTGCTTGGGCTTTTGACAATCGCTACGTTTTCCTTGGGCAGAGAGATGAGACTCCACTGACAACTCGCCTCCAGTGAAGTGATGTTGGTTGCTGTAGGGTCTTTGGGTCACACATGCACTTGGCGTATGTTTATTATCACAGGCTCTGAAAGAAATCAGGCCTGTGCATGTAGACGTCAGACCAAGATCCAGCAGAAAGCACTACACAACAAATCATTAAATAATACAGCACTGTGATGAAGGTGAAGGGGCCGTACCAGGCAGTCTCCTGAGATTTCACGTTATTCCAGCACCTGCTTGCGCCTTAAACGTAAAGCACAAAGTGCGTCTGAGAACTCCAGCTCCGCTGTTATTTAGCCGCGGTCCTAGGCAAATTGCTTAACCCATTTAAATTAGAGAAAGGAAAGTGTTTTATGAAAGCACACGGCACTGCACGTAAAAGTGTTTGGAGACTTCGTTTAAGCCATTACATCCGCCTTCTCACTCTTGGCCTCTTGAGGGACTCATTCAACCTCCAAAGCCAGCTCAGATGGCTCCACCAATATCCCCAAGTAGCCGTGGAGTCTCCTTCTGGCACTCAGTGGCCCACGGTACCTCCCCCATCACAGTACTCAACATCCCGTGCTAAGCTGTTTGTGGAAGTGGAGGACTGGCCAGAGGCTCTTCACCGTGTTCATCTGTTCCGGGCGCCTGGATCAACGTGGTCCCGATAAATGCTAAATAACAATGCTAGCTGAAGGAGTAACATCACCCTAGGTTACAGAGGCATGAAAGCAAGGAGTCAGGTTGGCTAACCCACTATGAATTCCACTGGGGACATAAGGGGAACAGTATCGCTTGTGAATTGCAAGGCTTAAATTAGCAACAATTCTGAGTTCACTGCACATATGCCTAGGAAGCTAGAGGTGTTTTTCTTAACAACTATGGATGTCGCCTTACAGAGTAGTTCACAATTTCTGCAGCTTTCTTCCGGTAATGCTGGGCTGCCTTATTGTCTACGTTTCTCTGCTGGTCACCGAGTAGCAAGACAGACCCACCCTGAACTTACAAGAATGACTTACGCCAGGTAGCAAAAAAGGAAACCAGCTGAATTTATTTTCTAGTCACCTGTGGCACCTTTGTAGAAGGGTATATTCGAAAACACTTTATGATTTGGGAAACTTCAATATTCCTCGCCAAGCTGTACTTACAGTATTTAAAGCGTACTACACTTAGAGTAAGAGAAGGTTTGGGGTGAGTTATATATATTTCAGATGGAGCGCTGACCACCCACAGTGGTTTATGTGTACCTGCCACTTCACTGCAGGAGCCAGGAATGTGTCAGCCCAGCCGGAAGGGAAGGGCCCCTTGCTCGCCTTGATTCATTCCACTTCTGACTCTGACAGGCTATCCCACCGTGATGAGACAAAGGCCCAGAAACTCACAGGCCCTAGGAGTCACTGCGGGTCCGCAGACGCAGGGAACGCAAGCATTCTGAATCAGAGCGCTCCCCCAGACAGAGCCAGCCCTGCAAGCTTCGCCTGGGGCAGGCCAGGCAATTCTTCAGTGCTGCAGGGACAGCCCTCCAAGAGCGGCAGTGTTGGTGCTGGGCTCACTTAAGGCAGCATTTCTGGAACTCTGTGCGGAATGATGGTCGGAGGACTCGTGTCAAGGCGCAGGGCCGGGGGCAGAAGGCTGGGTGGGGTGAGATTCTGCACCACGTTTCCAGTGACGCCTGCGCCACGGACTACATCTTGAATTCTAGATCTCAACTAGATCCACATTAGACTCACGGGGTCGGGGGGACTTTTAGAACCGTACAGGCACCCAGGCCTCACTCCTTACTAATTAAATCTGAATGATGCTATAGGGGCCGGAGCGGGGAGTGGGGTGGGCGCGAGGGGGGCACAAGGGGAAGTCTTGATCCGGGCTCGATACTGTTCTAAAAGCTCCCCCAAGTGATTCTCTTGTTCTCAAGGTTCAGAACAGCTGAGCTCAGGTTCACCTCATTGTTAAGCAGGGGCCCAGCCTCGAAGGAAGAGGTTCCAGTAGACAACCAGACTTCACCTGGTTTTGCCACTTAAAATTTTCCCCACCGAGGACTTCCCTGGTGGCGCAGTGGTTAAGAATCCGCCTGCCAATGCAGGGGACACAGGTTCGAGCCCTGGTCCGGGAAGATCCCACATGCCGCGGAGCGACGAAGCCCGGGCGCCACAACTACTGAGCCTGCACTCTAGAGCCCGCAAGCCACAGCTACTGAGCCCGCGTGCCGCAACTATTGAAGCCCGCGCGCCTAGAGTCCCCAGCAGGAGAAGCCACCGCAATGAGAAGCCCACACACCGCAAGGAAGAGCAGCCCCCGCCCTCCGCAACTAGAGAAAGCCCGCACGCAGCAACAAAGACCCAACACAATCAAAAATCAATAAATAAAATGAAGTTTCCGCACCGAACAGTCCCGCCACTCGCTGAAGGCAGTTTCCTGCCACCCCTCATTTTAACGGTGACTTTCAACACAGCAAATGAGCGGGAAGGCTTTTCCTTCTCTGCCTATCACCCCAATCCCTGACATGGGGTTGTGTACGTGACAGGCTGTCAACATGCTGCTTCACGATGGTGAGTTCTACGTCCTCTCTCTGACCCCAAAGAGGTGCTAATAAGCAACTACTGCACCAAAGGAGAGAAGAGAAGAGAAGCGAGGGGCCCAGAGTATTCAGTGACTGAACAGCCCTGAGACGGAACTGTCAGCCGCAGTCTACTGATAAAACAACTCCAGGAACGAGCTAAGAGAGGAATAAAGCTGCTTTCAGATTCTTAATGGCAAGAAAACAAACTGCAATTTTCTTTCAGCAGTTGATCGGATTCAACGCATTCAAGTTGATGATTCTTAATTCAGGCCAAAATAATATCGATACACAACCACAGACAGTTTAGCATTTTATCCTCACTTGTAACCTACAAAGCGTAAAGTGTGCACGAAAGATTTTAATAAATATAGTAAGGCTTAAGGTGACGACCGTTTTGAGTGGAAGAGTTTGCTTTCTCACATAGTAGCTGACATTCAGAATCTTTAAAACCTGAAACGTTCACCGCCTTACCGTGAGAGACACAAAACACAGCTTGCTCCAGTTTTTTCCCCCCGGTTTGAAGTATCTTTGTACTATCTTCCTTCCTCCCACATCTGATGGACAAACGATGATACAAAAATTTTTGACAGGTTAAGAGAATGCAGTTCTCTTGTTTGGTGTGACCTGAAATGTTTACTGTTTCAGGGAAAAGCTTTTACTGAGTCACTGGACCATGAGTAATGCAGCTGACAAATAAATACAGCTCAACCCAGTGGCTTCGGAGCTCAGCAAACAGCAAGAAGGGCTGTCGAACACACCGAGGAAGGGCAGCAGGGAAGTGTTCGCTCTCTTACACTGTAAACTGGAGGCAAACCCTACCTGTGAGAAAGCCGCCAGCTACACACGGGTCCTCTCATCTCGCACAAAATACCCGAGCAGGTCTTCTCCAGGGACCCTCTCATCATGCTCTCAGTACAAATCCTTGGCCGCAGGGCCTCAGGGCCAGGCTGTGAGGAGATTGCTGAACGCCTCCAGGTCACCTCAGTAGAAAGCGGCCCCCGAAATGGCCCGAGGCCCCGCGCCCAGGCAGATCTCCCTGCCTGCAAACTAAACGGGCAGCACAGGTCCCACTGGCCCGGGGATGCCCGCAGCGGGGGAGGAGAGGAGAAGCACACGCTGACAGTCGCCTCCCTCCTGGGTCCTTTAGATGGACTCCAGGATCCAGTCGGCGCTGCAGAGCGGGGAGACGGGCGGTGAGGGGTCCCTCGGGGGGCTTCGCTCCCTCCTGTCGTGCAGGGGGCTCTGCTCCTGGAAATAGCCCTCCTCGTCGTCGAAGAAGCCGTTCTCCAGAGCGTAAGTGCAGTCTGAGCTCGACGCAGCCTGGCACGCTCCCTTGTACTCCTGGATGGACTCGTAGAGGCTGTATAGCTGGCAGAGCAAGGACATGTCCAGCTGTCGGAGGCCAACCTTGAGGGAAGGGGCAGGCAGGTAAAAACGACAAGTCAGCACTGCAGTGTCACCTCAGCTGTACCCTCAGCCAGCCATCTGCTCGCGCCTGCACATTCCATCCACGCGGCAAACGACGCAGAGCATCACCTGAATGCTTCGGATTTCCAGTTCTGAGAAAACCTTAATTAGGTGATGCCCACGCCTCAGACGTTACTCAACATGTCAGGGAAGGGCCACACCCGCAGGGCGGCGGGGGGCCCCGGCACGCCCTGTGGTGCAACAGCTCTGCACATTCTGCAAGCCCCAGCTGGCTTCACATTGGACGGCAAGACTCAAGGGTGTCATTTCCTCTTGCCACGATCAGATTCAGAGAAGACCCACGTGTGCCTGCCCTGCTACGGCCGTCTCTCCTCCCTGGGCCAACAGTCTCCTTGCCACCGCCAGTGGCTCACCAGTCAGTGTCACACACTGCCCCCTGGAGCGCGCACCCTCCAACCAGCTCCGTCTCCAGGCTCACAAGTGGTCAGACTCCCTCTCCTCTGGACAAGAGGACACCTCCTCCCGAGATGGCTGTGGGATCACTCGCCACAGCGGCCACCAAATCAGCCTAGTGAGACCCGGGACCTCTCCAGATTCTCCTGGGAACTATTTCCACAAGTGATGACAGAACTAAGAACATATAAAAGTCACGTATTTGTTTACCCTCAGGTTCCTCCCTTCCCCGCGGCCCATCCCAGGGAAGAGAGCACAGTCAGGACAGGCGATGGATGCAACGTTTCCATCAATCCCAAAGGGAGAAGGGTTAATTCACCTAGAAATGCAGCCTTGACCAACGCATCTCCACTTTCCTGTGCATGAGAACCACTTGGGGATCTTGCTAAGCCTGCGGGTTCTGACTCGGGCCCCAGGCCTGAGGCCACTGGTGACGGGAACACTGAGCAGTGCTGCCGGGTGGCAAACCTCACGGAGTCTCGAGGGGAGACACTCTAAACAAGATGCCAGATTTATCATCTCTATGCCTCACCTGATGACAAAATGGAATACTTCCTCTTAATCTATTGGGAGGATCAAATGAAATATCAGCCATTTAAATAAACAGGAGTCAAATGCCTCCTGTGTATCAAGCGCTAGGCTAAAGGGGTCGCGATGCCCAGGGAACAGTCCACAGAAAACCGCAGGGAGTATCAGAGGAGTTAGTCTTTAATATTACCCAGCAGTGAGATTTTCTGCACAAGGGAAGCTAGGGCCCAGGAAGGAGCGGTCACCTGGTGACAAGACTGGACGATAAACTCCAGGTCACTCTTCACACCGTCAACCACGCCCAGTCACCAGCCCTCTCTCCAGTACAGCCGAACAGACCACAGAAACGGAGCCCCTCACACCGCCTTTGCATAATAGCCAGGACGTTCAAAGGAAGACCCAGACGGAGATGCGGGTCCTGTTCTTTCTGGAGCGTTTCCCTTTATTCTAGAATTCCTTCTACCTAGAACTCCTAAAGAAGCTGTTCCCAGGAAGAGACCTCGCCACAAGCCGGGGGCGTGGCCTCCAGGCCCAGCTCCGGCACTTTCCATGGCTTTGTTGAGGCCCTTGCCCTCAACCTGTCAATAAACGGAGGCTTCGGGCCAGATAATCTGTGGCTACGCAAACACTGGGGCTCTGTGTCCTAAACCACCGCTCCTTAGTCCTCAACGAATGGCGAGCGCCTGGGAGAAGGCTTTCCTGAAGGACAGACGTGCCCCAAGGCATCCTACTCTCCAAAGCACACCTTGAACAGGGAAGGCAAACCAAGAGGTGACCGGCGGCCACAATGTCCCACTGTCGGGTCAAGACACCACCACTATTCCTAATGAGTGTGTGTGCGCGCGCGCGCACAATATACGTGTGTATGTCGGAAGAGTGGGTCCCTGACATTTGTGTTCTAAAAATTATGCAGATGATCCTGAAGTCCAGTTCTAGTGAAGAACCAGGGTTCTTGACGGGAGTATCCGTCTGCCTCTCCCGGGCCGCGTGTAGGCACTGTCCTGGGCGCCCGGAACCGCAGGCCGGCAGGGGGCGCGGCGCCGTATCCGGGGCGCGGCGCTGCATCCAGGGCGCGGCGCGGCCCCGGGCGCCCGCCCGCCGGCCCGGTCCAAGCTGCGAGAGCACCGCAGACCAACTGTTCAGCTCCTGAAAAGAGCGGCAGCTGCTGCCACCCTTGTTTCCCTCTTCACTGTTCTTTTCCACTCTGCTGGCCTGCAGGGTTTCAGCTTGGAAAGGAATGGCAGGGACCTCGGGGCTCCGGCCAGGGCAGCGCCCGCGCGCCGCCTCATTCCTCCGCCCGCTGAGCCCTGATCCGGCCCGGGGTGTGCGTGGCGTCGCCGGGGCAGCCACACTGGATGCACGCTCTCCCCGTCAGCCTGCTTTGTGGGAAGCAGTGGTAACTGCAGACTCTCAAGGAGGAAAGGCCCTCCCGTGTCTTACTTCAAACCCCAACAAGGAGGACCTTGCAAACCAGCTAGTTCATTTCAAACCGATGTAATTATTCTTTATACCAAGTCAAACTCTGCGAGCCCTTAGATGCTATGTGTCGCCGCTGCACATACAAATGTAGTTACTCTCTTTCTTAACCACCTTTTAAATATTTGAGGATAATCTCTTTCCACCACCTTCACCCCCTAAACCATTTGCCTTCTCCGAGCTAATATCCTCAGTCCTTCCACTATTCGTGATGACTCTGTTCTATTAACCATCTAGTTCTTTCCTCTGGCCTTTCCAAAGCCTCCTCCACGGTATCCGGATCTGAATACAACAACCAAGCCACAAGGTTCAGACTTGGCAAATTCACACGGCCCTACCTTCTCTAGGATTTTATACAGGGGACATAAACTTTAATAAAGGAAGTCATCACACCTTCCAGAGAGCACACCAGTATTTGCTCTGAAAGTCATAGCAAACATTCATCCAGAATCCTGGAGATGCTTCTACTGGGTCACTCTGATACCAGTAGGGTTGGGGGAATCCCAAAACTGTTAAGGGAAAAAGAAGTACCAGGGAGTGACATGCTACTGGCCCAGGTCTGTCACCCTGCTGGGCCACTGGAATGCAGTGGGCACAGGTGAAGGCAGAAGACTAGGCTCCACGGCTCTACAACCCCTGACAGGCTGCAGCGGCCCCGACCTCCCACGATGCCGTGCTACCCGTGAAGCGAGGTTCCAGGCTGTTCTCTTTAGGTGCCAAGGTTCTCCAAGGCATTCCCAGGCCTACGTGGGAGACGCACTAGGCTGGGAGTCGGATCATGACCTGGACCTTTCTGCACCGCGGCGGCTGGTGATTCACAAAGCTGCCTTGTCATCGGGCAGAAAGCTGGCCTAGAAACCAAGTCTGACCAGCCTAGGAATACAGCACAGCCCTGTACATGCCTGTTACACAAGCCGGCGGATGCCAAGCGTTTGGACTAACTGAGCAGGATTGCAGGGACTTAAAAACAACACACGTGCACGCACACGCCCACACCCCACCCAGCTTCTCGGGGCCTCCTTCTTCGGGTGCTAGGTTCCACTTCCTCTGATTCACCAGCAATCCTCCAGATTAGCTAGGAGGACATGGGGCAAGTAAACAGGAAGCTAGGAACAACCTAGCTTCCTAGCCAGGACCCCCCCTCTCCCCCAGCTGCGCTTGTTTAAACATTTTCACTTGAATTTTCTAGATGTAAATTGAAAATCCCTAGGCAGCATCCCCTGATCTGGTCTGAAACTCTGCTCCCCTGCGCCTCATGCACTGTTCAGGCTGAGGCCCCTTCACCCCGAGTGTCCCCTGGCTGTCTCCAGTTACATCTGTTGAAGCCCAGCCCCAGGGTCTCCTCCACTCTTCAGACCCGGATGGGCTCAGCCACCAGCGCTCCTTGCTTTCCCTTGCCTCCTCTGCCTGTCTCATGGCATTTATCACTCCCTACCTTATGCCGTGGGTACACACACGGTCTTCCTTCTCCTACTGTAGGAGGAGCTCAGATGGCAGGGACCCATCTGCCCTTTGGGTCCCTCAGCACCCAGCGCAGAACCCTGCAGAGGAAACTCGGATACTGGTTGCCTGAGGGAAAGCGCCTCGCTGTGGAGACCTCGGTGCCCTCCCAGAGGACGCCTGGCAGCGTCCTGGCAGTGGGTCGCACTAAGATCCGCAGGCCCCTGGCTCCAAACCAAGGTCCCCCTGAGGAAAGCCACAGACCACGTGGTTCTCGCCACGTCATCAAAAAAGCACTCACCTCTTGCCTGACAGGAGAAGGCACAAAACCAAGATTCCTTCCTGAGCGCTCGTTACAGAGCCAGCCATCTGCAGCTGGAAGACAAACTCATGACAGGCCAGAAAGCAGGCTCTCAACACTGGCGCCAAGAGAACTCAACTGCCATTATGTTCTAGGACATGATGAAATCACCCATGAACAAGAACTTCTCATCCTTCCCGAAGAAAGTGAGGCGGCGGTGGGGGGGGGGGGGGGGGGCTAGGCAGGGGAACATGCCCTCAGCAAGCCCACTAACCCTCGCCACTGTCCCCACCCTGCGAGCAGAAGCCTGTCACCTTATGGACGTGTTCCCATGGGTCCCTAAAGGACAGCTGCTCTCCTCATTCACAGCTGGATTCAGAAAATGCAGCTCTTATTTGAAAGTGCAGTTGAAAAATTCAGACAGGCTCAGTTTAGAAAAACACAGAATTCTAAGACCCTGCCATTTGCAGCCCCTTGGTCTACACCTCTGAGACAATTCAGAACAAGCCACTCGTTTCCATCTCTTTAAACTGCTAGCGTGATTCCTTCCTCTCCCAGGTCAGGCTTCCTGCCTCCTATCTGAACTTCTCCCACGAGCAGAGCTCCCTGCACGCTGCCTGCTGCACGCACAGGTGCTCACCAACCCATGGCATCTCCAACGACGGGGCCGGATAATCCTGAACAACCCTCGCTCACGACGGTTTCAAGAGTTCACAGTGGGCTGGCCCCATGCATACACCTCAGACAGGGTGGTGGCTCCCAGCTGGGTCTGGGGTCACCCAGCCTCTGGATATCTTTGGAGGGTGGTGTTGAGGAGGAAGTTCTTCCTGACTTTCAGATTATAATAGAAACATTACCATTAGGGTACAAGGCCTAGAAGATGCAAGAAGACTTTCATGGGAGATTTATGTTGATTGAAAACAAAGCATCATGAAAAATTTTAGGATTTTCTCAGAAGTCAAAAATACATTTAAGAAAAAGAGTCTGTTTTATTGAAGTAACTGAAAACAAACTTTGGGGTAATTCACCGGTGCAACTTCTTCCCAAACACAGCAGTGAGTAGAAAACAAGACAAACATACAAGGAAATGGCCTTATTTGTACCCAGCTCCGTATAGGAGCCTGGGCCCAGGGGAGGGGGAAGCAGATCTGGTGCCGGTGTGGGCAATGAGCCCTCTCCCCTGGTAGTCCTCTATCTGCTATCGCTGTGATTCCTCAACCTAAGATGAAAACTGCCCCACCTCACATGGGACGAGGGATGTACAGATGCAAAGTTAAGCTATAGAATCAGGAACTACAGTACAGGGGGCCCCAAAATATGGGGACAGACGCGGAAAAAGTCTGTCGGGTAAAAGTTTAGTTCGGAACATAACGGATGATAGAAACTTGACTTAAGAAATTATATTATAGTCATACAATAAAAACCAGGCAGTCATTTAAAAGACAGAGCAGCTCTCTAAGCACTAGAGTAGGACACTGACCAACACACACCATTTGGCACGAAAGTTCAAGGTATAGAATAGTATGTTTAGTAGGATCTCACTTTATACATCTATGCACACACATGTGCAAGCTTCTGACTAGAAGAGAAAATGTCCGTTAGCAGAATTTACTTTTGGAAAGTGGGACTGGATGTTCACAGCCTTCTGTACTGCTTAATTTTTTTTTCCAACAAGCACATTACTCCTAATTTTAAAAACTAGTAATAATAGGGCTGCATGCTTGTAAAACCTTTCTGGAGGACTCACTGGCAATGTCTATCAAAAGCCTTAAAACATAACTTTTTTTTTTTTGGCTGTGTTGGGTCTTCGTTGCTGCACACGGGCTTTCTCTAGTTGGGGCGAGCGGGGTCTACTCTTTGTCGTGGTGCGCGGGCTTCTCATTGCAGTGGCTTCTCTTGCTGCGGAGCATGGTCTCTAGGCGCGCAGGCCCAGTAGTTGTGGCTCGCGGGCTCAGTAGTTGTGGCTCACGGGCTCTAGAGCGCAGGCTCAGTAGTTGTGGCACATGGGCTTAGTTGCTCCGCGGCACGTGGGATCTTCCCGGACCAGGGCTCGAGCCCGTGTGCCCCGCGTTGGCAGGCAGATTCTTAACCACTGAGCCACCAGGGAAGTCCCTCACGTAACTTTTAACCAGCTAACCAGTTCATTTCTGGGGACCGTGGAGTAGAAAATCTCAGCTGTACACAAATAGGTAATCCTCATCCCTGTTCTGTGAGGTAGGTGTGGATTCTGTTACGATGAGGAAACTGACGTCCTGAAAGATGCAGGCCCTTCACTAAGAGCAGGGGGCTGCAAGCAGGTGGCAGGACTCCAGCGTCCATGCCGGACCCTCAGCTTGCCCCGCCTGCACAGACGACACAGGGAGATGCCGCCATGTCAGCTGCGGTGCAGCAAGCTGCTGAGATCACAAGTGCCTTGTATTTGGGGCTTTTCTGAATTTTCCAGATCTTCTACTGTGAATACGTATTAATTCATAACGAGAGAACTTTCAAAGTTATCTTTTGAAAACGTAATGAATGAGTAAGCATATCCAATGAACAGCTTGTAAATTTATTTTAGACAAGACTTGGTAAATGCCCCCAATTTAATGGGAGTGTCTAGTGTGCACCCACAGGACTGGAATGCAATAAAGCAGTAACTAATGGACCATAATCTGGTTTCTGAATAAAGGATGTGTTGACAGAAGGACGCTGACCTGCATACTGTTTAGAAAAGGAAAGTCAAAGAGAACAGCTTCATCGGTGTTGATCTAATAGAGAAAAAGCTATGAACTCAGCAGCCGGAGCTGGACAGAGCTGCCCCTGCAGGACCCCGAGCTGCCCGCATGCTGTGATCCTGGGCTCCCTAAGCAGGCTTCCATCCATCACACGGCTCCTCCCCAGGGGGATGCACATCAGTCAGCCTCGTCTCCTGTTAACACTGTGGCCCCACTGAGCTGAGGACTGCCTCGGAAGAGCCCCGGTGACTCAGAGACAGCAAACAGACCAGGTGCATGGCCTCGCCAGGGATTAGGCCAGACCCAAAGCTCGGCCCACCTCTACACTCTCCCATGAACTCCTCGACCAGGAAGGGCAGTTTGAGTGGAGTTTTCTGCTTACACCAGAAGGCATCCGCACTGATGGATGGAGCCCATTCTGCAACTCAGCAGTTCTCATGAAGACGGCCTTGCTCATCTCTGACCTAAAGTAATGATAGTACCAATGAAGCCCATTTCCTCTCGTTGTGTCCTAGGTGAAGATGAAGAAAAGTGATCAACTGTTGTCTTTAAGAAACGTCTTTGTACATTCCTTAACTTTCCCGATTACAAAAATAAAATATTCTAACTATTAAAAAGTCAACGGGGGCTTCCCTGGTGGCGCAGTGGTTGAGAGTCCGCCTGCCGATGCAGGGGACACGGGTTTGTGCCCCGGTCCGGGAAGATCCCACATGCCGCGGAGCGGCTGGGCCCGTGAGCCATGGCCGCTGGGCCTGCGCGTCCGGAGCCTGTGCTCCGCAACGGGAGAGGCCACAGCAGTGAGAGACCCGCGTACCGCAAAAAAAAAAAAAAAAAAAAAAAAAAAAAGTCAACGGCTCATAATTATACGAAGAGTCTTCCGTAATTTCATGCTCTAAAGCAGCAATCTTCAAATGTTTTGGTCTTGGGACCCCTTTATACTCTTAAAATTATCGAGGGTCCCCAAGATCTCTTGTTTATGTGGGTTATACCTATCAGTAGTTACCTTATTGGAAATTGAAACTGAGAAACTTTAATATTAATCCATTCAAAAACACTATACCCATTGTTAATATAAATAACATTTTTATAAATGAGATTTTGTAAATCTTTTTAATCTCTGGCTTATCTGCTCTGTACTTGATCCTTGAAACATGCTTTTTTTGGTTGAAATAAACCTGGCCTCATCCTTAAGGTGGCTCCAGTGTGGAATTTGAAACTAAGACAATGAGCTTTTCATACTGTTTCATTAAAACCCACCAGTCTCGCACTCTGAATGGACCTTTTAACCACGTGTCAAGCGTTGGTTATGTGAAACATGTGGAAAAATGATTCACTGAATTATTTAGCTCCTCGAAACATTGATACATTTTCTTAGGTACTATTTTGGAAAATCACATTTGTCAATGTGACCACCACATAATTACGGACCCCCGAAAGGATCTGGGAACCCCTAGATGTCCTCAGACCATAATTTAAGAACCACTGTTCTTAACATATCCATTTTAGCTGTTTAGCATATGTCCCTCAAGACACCATGCATACACACATGTATACATGTGCTGTTTTGTAACTTAACTTTTCCATACCTTGAACACCTATGTTTATTTACATAGTTACCACATTCTTTTCAACAACTATACAGTATTCTATCACTGTTATATATTATTATTATAGACTACTACTATATATCACTGCAAAAGATATTCTTGTACAAGTACTGTTATTCCCTTGTGTGACTATTTCTGTAAGATAAATTTATGAAAATGAAATTGCAGGGGAGAAGGCAGAGAAGGGGAATGGGATGCCTTCCTTCCAGTCCTTCCCCAATCCTGGGGCCACAAACAGCAGACCATTCATCAAGGATTTGTGTCCAAGGCCTGAAAGTTCATTACTCAAGATGATGAATGCAAACGTGTATGCAGTTGAGGCTAAAAATCAGGTGGGACTAGAGGAAAAAACACGACTGACTAATGACACGTTGGAACTCAGCACACATTTGAAGGTTAGCTTGCATTTTGTCATTTTCTTGAATGATATCCAACTAATTGAAATCGCCTCTCTGCAAGAGCAGATGCAGTTAAGGAAGAGCATCTGAAGCTAAAAATCAGAAAACCAAGTTCTTGGACAATATACAGAAAACTTCGTGTCAGCACCTAGTGTTTTTTAGAAAACTGACGTAAGAAGCAAGAGAAAGAGGTTGGTGCCCATTCTGTTTTACGGCGCTTATTTCCCAGAACCCACACCATCACTATGATCATTCTTTTCAATCTTTGCTAATCTTTTAGGTAAAACATGATACCTTATTGTTTTAATTTGCATATCTGTGGTTATAAGGGGTTTTAAACACCTTGCCGTTCTCTTTACCTGCATGAACTTGGCTATTTTATTGCCAATCTTAAGTACAGTTGACAACCTAAGAATACACCAAACACCCTCCTTGCAAGTTTCTAGTCTCCATATGTATTTTGGTAATCTTCCTTAGCCCCGCCTCCCCAGGCTGGGACAGGCCTGGCATCCCACAGACGTTACCCCTCCCCTAGAGAGCACAGATCGGAGGACACACACACCCTCCACTTCTCCAGTCAAGGACAGCACCTCCCTCCCCGAATACTTGAAGACAGGATTCTCTGACCTGCAAAACGAGGCCAGCCCATGGCTCCTTAGGGCCAATCACGGAAGTGAACAGAGAGCGCTCATGAAAACTGAGAAGGCCACCTCTCTTAAACAATTTCTGCAGATCCGCAAGGAAGGCTAAGGGTTTGTCTCTTGGGGGAGAATGAACATCTCTGTCATGTCTGTGGGGGAATGAGCCACAGGAAAGAAGGAGCAGCCTTTGTGAGCCCTGCCTACTTATCACTTGGAAACGTCTGGAGAATGTGGGCAAGGAGTGAGGTGAACAGGAGGCCAGGGCTCTGGAGAACAGCACTGGGCAAGAGGGGGCAAACGTCTGACCTGGCCAGTCTCAGGGCTGGTTTCCTGCTCAGGGACTCTGTGATCTGTCCATAAGGTTTCTTACCCAGTATCGTGAAAAATTTAGCTTCTCAAATTGGGTTCTGAAGTCTCTGTAGTGCTGAGGCAGGCATTGCAGGAGCAAAACTGCGCAGCTTCTGACCGCTGCTGGGTGGGAGAAACTGCCTGAGGACTGTGGCCCTCTTCCTGGGCCCTCTCTGAACATCCTTGCCCACCTTGCCTCGAAGATCTACAGCAACGTCAGGCCCGGGCCCAGAGCGGGAGACACTGATGGCTGCAGGGTGCAGAAAGGCCTGGGCACTGGCTCTGTAAACAGAGAGGTACCCAAAGTGCCAACAACTGGGGCACTTTAGAGCCACACTTAACAGATGAATGACTTTAACCAAAAGGGGGAGAAAAAGCAGAAGGGCAGCGCTATTCATGAGAGACTTCTGAGTTAGGGAAAATGTGAATTTAGAGTCTCCACAGGGAGGTACAGTAATAGATAAAAGTTGAGAGTGGTACAAAAACATATCTTTCAATCCTTTACATCTTCAAATCTTAAGACTATAAGTATAGGGCTTCCCTGGTGGCGCAGTGGTTGAGAGTCCGCCTGCCGATGCAGGGGATGCGGGTTCGTGCCCCGGGAGGATCCCACATGCCGCGGAGCAGCTGGGCCCGTGAGCCATGGCCGCTGAGCCTGCGCGTCCGGAGCCTTTGCTCCACAACGGGAGAAACCACAACAGCGAGAGAGGCCCGCGTACCGCAAAAAAACAAAACAAAACAAAACAAAGACTATAAGTGTGATCTCACTTAGAGATAACCTTGAAAGGCCAATGACCCCATAGACACAAGTCTGCTGTCATACAGACTTTTAGCTTTTGCTTTTATTGGGTGGATACCGGGATGGAGACAGGTATTACACAGGGTAAGAATGGCCTAAAATCTTTAAGAACTATTGTAGACAGCCAAACTTCTGATGAACCAAGTCCAAGAAGAGCAAACTTACACCCTTCTTCCTTTTCTGCTCCCAGCCCTTTGCATTAAGTGGATCTGTCACAAGCAGGTATAGCTGTGCAAGGGTCCTCGGGGGCACTAAGCACACTGCGTTAGGGAGGACCTGCCCCCGTGCCCACGTTATTTTATGACAGAGCAAACGTCTTCTATAGGCACCATAATGACCCATAAAAACATGAGGGGAAAAGAATTATACCACTATTGCCAACTGGATCCTTTATGGCATTTAATCTCATTTTCCCAATAAGGGACCTGTAGCCTAAAATAAGGAAGAGGCTTGCCCAAGTTATATCACATAATTTGGTAACAGGATCCAAGCTCTCGATGCCCGGCTCATGCGCGTCCCAGCTCTCAAAGAGCTTGCTAAAAATGCAGATTCTGCCTCTCCCCCACTCTGATTCTGTTGGTATAGGAAGGGGCCCAGGAATCTGCATGTTTAGCGAGCACCACAGGGGACTCTGGGGCTGCTGGTCCATTTGGGGAACACCAAGATAAGCCATACTGGTGAGAAGACCAGTGGAAACACAAAGACAATACTAAAGGCCAGCGGCCATCCCCAGTCGCCTCTGCCCAAGGTCGACCAAGAACGCTGCATTGGGAGCTAATGCTCTTACCTCAGATGGCATTTCACAGGCCTGGCTCGAGACTGGACCTCCAACCAGAAACCCATTTAAAGACTCAAACCTGCTCTCTGAGACGCTAGTTTCGTGTGTAGGACGAGGACTGAACGCTGCGGGGATTTGGACTACTCAAGCTCATGCCTGTCTCCTAGAATACAGTTCACTGGACAAGCTCGTCAGGCCTTTAGCTGTTGTCTCAACTGAAATGCGGGAAAGATAAGTCTTGCTGCTCTCAGGAATCAAATCCTTTTTCTCAGATTAAATTCTTCACCCAAACCACTGCAGCTCTGGAACTCGAAAGTTCTGCGCGGGTGACTTCCCACTCACGCACAAGTGGGTGACCAAAGTAACTGCTGGACAGTTTGAAGAAAAAAAGAAAAAAAATGAGGCCAAGAGTCTTCAAAGCTACTAGAACGTGCTGCTGGTTTGAGGAGTGGAACCCAAGAAGACACAGACTCCGTGTCTCCGAGGACAGACACGGCCATCTCCCAGCCCCACGGCTGAGGCACTTGTTGTGTCTCTCCGCTTCCGTGGGACGCTTTTGAGGACCTAAGCTTGATGCGCTAACCCCACAGGGCTGCTGGCCAGTGGTCTCTGAAGAACCCTGCAGGGAAAGGCGTGTGCCAGGTCCCTGGGGACCCTGAGAATCGCCTGTGTCCTTCAACCACACGCAAGGATTTGAAACGCCAACCAAGATCTTCTGAGCCAAGCTAGCCTGTCAGCGTGGCAGATAAAAATCTTTGAAACTATGGGGGCCTTGAGGGCAAAGTATTCTTATCCAGAAAAAGGTCTGCGGTAGACATCTAGTATTTTGGCTGTCCAACAGCTGCCCCCTGCTCCATTTCTGCAAATTGTTCTTTCTTTGAGGGATGCCCAACCCCGAACCCCATCCACATGGTCATACCATCATAGTAAAATACCATCCTGCCCTCGGTCACTGATAGCTGGCCCAGGCTGGCCAGACCCCACCAAGCTGGACCCACTGGCATCCTTCCACACAGTATTTTCAAAGTGGCAGTAAGAAGCATGGCTGAGGGACTTCCCTGGTGGTGCAGTAGACAAGACTCTGCACTCCCAGTGCAGGGGGCCTGGGTTCGATCCCTGGACGGGGAACAAGATTCCAGCATGCATGCCACAACTAAGAGTTTGCATGCCACAACTAAGGAGCCCATGTGCCACAACTAAGGAGCCGGCGAGCTGCAACTAAGGAGCCTGCGTGCCACAACTAAGGAGCCGGCGAGCCACAACTAAGGAGCCCTGTATCTGCAACTAAGACCCGGCGCAACCAAATAAGTAAATAAATATTTTTAAAAACGAAGCATGGCTGAACCTGGGAGTGTGGACACTTTTGGCAGCCACATTCCAAAATGTAGCGGAAAAATTTTTTACATAAAAAGGAGGGGAAAGGAGAATACAGTGGCCTTCCTAGGTTCCCCATCAACCCTGGTTCTAGTCTGTCTCTGTACACATGCAGCCCTACAAGGTTCTCCTTTTGCAAGAGTTGGTTCAAACTGAGTCTCTATTACTAATACAGAGTCTTCAGACATGAAAAAATGACAAGTGGTCTAAACTACAGCAATCATATTGCTGCAAAGAGGCCCACCTCTACCAGATGTTATAAGCTTCTTAACACCTAGATACTTCCTATTCACCTCTGTGTCCTCCACAACACTTTATAACTAGCAGACACCTGGTCAACATCTGTTGAATATGATCCAAAACTATTCTCTGATGTTGGAAAACAAACAAACAAACAACAATCTCAGCTTCTTGTTTTAAAGGACTTTTTCAGGTCTAAAGAGCAAGAAGCATCTGTGTGACCCTCGCAGCTCTCCAAACGAGCTCGCTAGGGGAGGGGAAGGGAAGTCACAGGAGCACAGAACTTCAGAGTTACCCTGTTGTGAGGACAGGAAACCAGCACTCTCAGAGCAGAGCAGGGCGTCGCCAGTCATGGGACAGAACCTCTGCCCACACGGGCGCCCCTGGACACCAGCTTCCCCAGGTTCTGCCCTCACCGTGCATCAATCAGTTATCTCCAGGCCAGACTCTGCCAGCCTCCAGCTCCACATTCTGAAATGTTTGACATACTCTTCCGCTGATGTAATGGCAAACCACCTTCCCCCATAAGCAGCCACTCCTCCTGACCCGCCTAGTGCTGTGATGAACCCCACTTTCCCCATGATGGATTAGCAAGGTTATTACTGCCATATAATGGCACACTATGGAGTGAGGGAAGACATTATAGGATACATTGACCTAGAAAATATTTGTAATATGTGCCCCCCAAAAGTACTAAAATGCAGCGATTAAACAGGGTCTTGGGGCCGGACACATCTGGTTGAGTTTGTCCGCCTTAGGTGAGTTACTTAAATTCTGAGTCATATTTTTTAAACTAGACACTTTCAGTACCTATCTTGTGGAGAAGTTATAAAATTCAAATAAGACGATGTAAGGAAAGCATTTACACTGTGCCTATCGGGAGATACACCCAGATATTAACAGTGACTATCTCCAGGTGCTAGGACTGTAATTTTTCATTGTTTTGCTTAGCTGTACTTTCCATTAAAACACTTAAGTCATCTCTGGTTCCTCAGCATCACTGTCCCTGACTCCTAACATTGTATCAGCAATTCCTGCAGATTCTGTTTCAGAGAAGTAGTCCCCATTTGATTCTTGTTTCCCATTCCCGGGTCCCCATGCTGCTGGAGGCTCTCACCTGCCCCGACCATACCTCTAGCTCTGCCAGGCCCAGCTCTCCCCCTCAGCGCCCTGCTATCACATCAACGCTTCCAAGCCAGCTCTCCGGCTCAACCCCTTCCTTTGCTACTGGAGGCTTTCCGCAACCCACCTGGCCCCGGCCCCGGGCCCCTGGCAGCTGCAATGTCCACTCCTGCGTTATTCCAATGGGAGCGCCCTTTGGGCTGGCTGTGCTGCTAGAGTCCTATCACCCTCTCTCTTCTTAAAATCAGCCACCTTCTGATGCCTTCCGCACTACTGCTGCTGGAAGCTGGCCCTCTTTCTGCGCTGGCACAGGACTGTTTCAAAAGGAACTAATTTCATTCTGCCAGGACTTCTGGTTAGGTCCCTTGACACAGATCTGACCTCAGGCCTTCAGAGTCAATAGATCAACACAAACTACTAGGCAGATAATTCAGGCACGAACTCTCCGTTCTGATCTTGCAAGGCCCCCCAGTGGGAGCCTCAGTTTGAGGTGACCACTCAGACCCCACCACCCTAGGTTAGTAAATCTCAAAAAGCCAAAAAACCAGAGTACTTCGAAAGACCTTGTGACGTTTCTTGGAAGGGACCCGTCAAGGCCTGTAGCCATATTTTGTCTTGTTCTCAGCTAAATATCAGACAGACCTAAGATGGCTGTTTACTTTCCTTGTGCTTCAGATAGTTAGGCTTTGAGAGAGCTCTGGTCCAAGGCATAATGAGAAGGCTGTGGCTATACTTCAGTTGCACCAGGAGGGACCTGGAAAAACACTTTCGGGAACGGCATGTTTACTCCCACTTGGGAGTGTGTGAGACTCCAAAGCACTTTCACAAAGCAGAGAGAGCTTCACAACAGGAAAAAACCTCTCTGAGGTTTTCCTGTCTCTGTTCTGGTAACTTAACCAGGATGGGTCTTCCTATTTCACGCCCGTATTTATGCTGCATCCAAGTTCAGGCTGTAAACATACTCGGTGTACATTTATCTAATTAAAACACAGCTTACCAGCTGTTTAATGCTGGTGTCGATTAATGTTTATTAATAAATTTAGAACAGTTGGCTTGGAATTTAAGTCATTCTGTAAGAAGCTTAGAAAAATCTTTTCGTAGAGAACTGGAAATCACTTCAGTGGCAGCCACGGTGGGGGGAAGACAATATCTAATTGATTAAAAGGTGTTAAGGCTGTTTTTCTAGATTTAATTCTTAGTTTTCAGAACAGATATGCTCCTGAAAAAATTCATAAATTGAATTTTTCTAAAGAATATCTTAATGCACTCGATGCATATTTAAAGGATTCCTATTATAAATTTTTTGGTAAATTTATTCTTGGGGAAAAAGCAGTTTTCATATATCAAATTTCCTTAATAAAGTATTTACCTGTGCCAGGAGAGGGGGAAAACCTGCACTAGGTAAAAGGAATGGGCAAATTCTAAAAAGAGAGAGGGTGGCCAGGGGACGGTGCTCAGGGGCCCTGCGGGAGGGTTAGAAGGAGGAAGTTCTTCTGTTCTCTTCTAGGCTGGCCTAAGCCTGGAGAAGGCTGGAGAAAGGCCCCCTGCCACCCAAATCCCTGTCCTTGAGTTGCTTCTGGCGTCACCCTAAGTCGTGCGTCCTGGTCCACAAACACCTAACATACTTCCCAACGACTGCGAAAAAGTAAGCCCCATTGTTTGGAGCCCGGACACAACCTGAAGAACCTGCACGGGCTTCACCCAGACGGCGAGGATGCCACCGCCCCACTCCTCCCGAGCGGGCTCGGGGTGTCGCCGTACCGCGCGGACACGGTCAGGTCGAGCGGTGGCTTTCACGGCCATCTGTGGGCCGGAGCCGCTCCGCCGTAGTCCAATTCTGCACGCGCCGCCTCGGGCGCGGGGGAGGGGCGAGGGCTGTTCCCATCTGCCGTCTACACTCGCAAGGACAAAAAGTTGTTCCTCTTCAGGGCAGGAGAACACAATCGCACACAGCTCTGAAGCCCTCGCGCGCAGCGATGACCGCTCCCCGACCCGGGGGTTCTGCTGCCCTCTGGGGAGGGGTGACCAGCCGCCCCCGGCCCTAGGCCAAGCGCCAGCCCCACGCCGCGCCTCCCGGGTCTCTAAGCCAGCTGGGGCCGGACTAGGGGAGCCCGGTCTCCAAAAAGCTGCCTTTTGAGAGGGGTGCCCTCCCAGGGCGAGGGTCCAATCGCGGGCACAGAGCGGACAGCGTCCCTCTTTCGGTGCCGGCGCTTGGGTTAAAAGAGCCGGAGACAGGCGGGTGTCGCGGGGACTTCCGGCGAACTTTCCCGGGACGGCGAGCCGGCAGGGGAAGGGCCCCCGCCCCAGCCCGCGGACCTCCCTTACCATCTCCTTGCGCAGCAGGGCCAGCGCGGCGTCCAGATTAGGAGGCTTGGCGGGCAGCGCCGCGGCCCGCGCCCCGCCGCCGCCAGCGCCCCCGCGGCTCAGCTCGTCCTGGATGCGCGACTTCTGCGCGTACAGCCGCTCCAGGTGCCTCCAGCCCCCCGACGCGCCGCCGCCCGACGCCGAGTGCAGCAGCCCGCTCAGGCTCTTGGGCAGCGGGGGCAGCCCGTCCACCCGCAGCCCGCGCACCGAGCCGGTTGCCCCGGGCCCGCTCATTCCGCCCGGCCAGACCGCTAGCACTCAAGTCCTCCGCCGCCGCCGCCGCCGCCTGGGACTCAGGCTCCGCGGCCCGCCCCCTTTCCGGCGGCGCCCCGCCCACTTCCCCTCCCCGCCGCGCTGCCCCCGCCCCTCTCTGCGTCCCCGCCCCGCGCCCTCGCCCCCTTGGCGCCCCACCTCCCGGGCTCTCCTACGGCCCCGCCCACTTAGCGCCCACCCGACCTCCGGCGCTTCGGCGCTCACCCTCGCGTTCCCGGTTCACCGTGGACCACTACCCCGTACCCCCCGCGCCCACCCCCACCGCTGCGCCCATCCCCGGCGCAACCTTGAGAACCTCTCGAGACTCCCGCCTCACCCCCGCGCCCTCCTCGCGCGATCGAGCCCTGCCCGGGCTGCCCCACTCCCGGCGAGGTGGGTTCCGCGACCAGCCCCCAAAGCTGCTTGTAAGTACTGATGGGGGAGGGTCACCTCAGACGCCACCCGACGAGGCGGGCTAGTGCGGGGAGTCGGGGTACAGAGGCTCCCCCTCGGGGCGGGCAGGACGTCGGGGAGGTTTGGCCGTGCTGGTGATCCCACCGGCGGTCACCGTCCCCGGAGGCCAGGATCCACCTGGCGGCGTCCGCGCTGACCGAGGTGGGAGGAGGCGGGGCTCTGGAGGCACTAGTTCGCTCTGGGGCGCGCTGGCCTTCTCAGTAAATGGCAATGTCCAGCCGTGCCGACAGCAGCCAAGAAGAGCGCCAGGTCCACTTTGGGAACTTCAAAATGCGAACGAACACGTCTTTCAGCCTGGCTGTGAACGCGAGGGTAGTTCTCAACGGAAATAGCAGAGTGGAGAACGGGATTATCGCTCAGAAACTGTCCATCAGCTCTGAGGCGAAAATAAACACGACTCACACCTCAGAGAGGGAGAGAAAAGAGAGAAGCAGGCTCTACCCTTTGGAGGAAGAATAAAAATGACAGATGTTATAACCAGATTAGAGACAGAAAAGGTAAAAACAGAAGCTAGGGACCGATTTGCAGAGACCACCTCATTGCAGATTGAAAACTACTGCAGTATATAGAGAGTGGATAAATTTAATGCCCATTGATCGTTGGTTTTCATTATAAAAGGGACTTAATTGTTCTAAATGTATTCAACAGGATCACAATTATAAAGTGTTCTGAGCGCTTCAGGCATTCAACATAAAAGAGCCCTGCACTTTGGTGGGGTTTTTCCCCTTTAATCTACCACCCCCCTTAAAACCCTCTCCAGAATCAGTATTCTCGCTGGACCCTTGCGACTGGGTGAGACCAACATGGAGAAGCCCCAGCGCAAGCAGTGTGATTCAAGGGTATCAGGAAAGCTTCCCACCCCAACCAGTGCCCAGAATTTCCCTTCTCATCACCGTGCCTCACCTTCCACTAATTGCCTAGTTCCCTTTCCGGATTTCAGGGATTCATTCATTCGCCTATTTAAACAGTGGGTGTCTGGGAGAGTTACAGATTTGCTGGTGCCGAGACTAAGGGAGAGGAAGAGATGGGACATTTGATCTTTGGTTCACACCCTGGCATGAATTCCTTTAATTTGGGGTGTCAGATTGCTGTCTGTCCTGCAGTAGCTAACAGAAGTCACTGAAGTGAGGTGTTTGGAGGTTCGGTTATGTGATGGTACAATAAGAGAAGAAATAATTTCAAAGTATCTGGTCACTGAACTCATTTGAAAGCACGTACTTGAGATAATTACGGATGGCAAGAAGGAAAGAGGCTTGGGGCCAGCGGGATAGCAGCATGAGATCCCTGATGCCAGGACGAGAGAGACAGTTTACATGATACAAACCCTACAATATTAAAGGCAGCTTCTGTGTTCAGATATATACTCAACGAGATGAACACATTGAAATTGTCCCCTTTATATCAATTGTCCCCTTTATATCAACAAACAACATCCAGTGTGAATAGTCGAAATTCCTCCAGAATTTCTGTGGTACTGATTAAGACTTTATTTGTATAAACCCAAAACATAATTATGCAAGAGCCCACCAAATATTTTGACACCCATGGGGCATGTCAGATAGTACCTGCTTATTCAAGAGCAAATATAAGGTGCCTTTTAAGGTTCATGCTTATATCAGGAATGAAGTAATTTTTTAAAACTTCTGAAAATATGTGTTTTTGCTTTAATTCAAGTCTGAAACACCAGCATTCTGACCTCAAACCAGAATGAACCCCAGCCATCTCTTATGCAGCTAAATCAGTCTTTTTTTGTTTTTTTTCTCTTGTGTTTTGTTTGTGCACAGGCTCTTGGAAGTCAGAAAATACAGACTTTTTTTTTCTTTTTTTGTCACACTGCGCGGCATGTGGGATCTCAGTTCCCTGACCAGGGATCGAACCAACAACACCCGCGTTGGAATGCGCAGAGTCTTAACCACTGGACCGCCAGGGAAGTCCCAGAAAATACAGACTTTTAATTCAGTGCTCTAGTCGTTAACCCACATGTCTTCTTAGACTTTTCTGTAGGTCAAGGTCCAGGACCTGGGCCTGGGAGCACTGGCCTCACATCTGCTGACACTGAGTGGATCTCAGCTTTGTTTCCTAGCCTTTTCAGCCAGGAGTGCGCTGTGAGCTCAGAGTGAACTTTCAAAGACTCACCAAGAGGCATTCTCATCTCCCTCCCCCCTGTCCTTCCACTAATCCAGCCACTTCATCCCACCCCTAATCCCTACCCACTTGGTGTGTGCTTTCTGGAACATCACAGAGTCCTTCTGTGCTTTTTTATAATTCTAAAAGTTTAATAACTTAGGTTGTGGACAGAATAGAAGGAACCTGAAAAATACATTAAAATGTCGATTGAGCTTTCTTTTTAGAGCTGATGACCTTAAATTCTGCTAAGCAGAGAGAAATTTGTCTTCTTGTCCATGGTAAATGGTAAACATTTTTCACTTGTGTCAAGACCTAAAATTAGAATACTTTGAGAGCAATTGTGCAATGTATTTAGCCTCAATTTTAGCAGATGTATTTATTTCAAGATGTAATTTCTTATGTTTCTGTCATTTCTAAAACAAGTTATAAATTAAAAAGTGTACACAGAGCCTTTCAAAGGTCTTTACATGCAACTGTGTAGACACTAGGTGGGACTAAGAACTTAGCATGTAATCACAGATTCTTCTTCTTCCTTTTTTTTTCCCCCAAGAGAAGGAAGGATTTATTACTTGCAGGAAGTAAGGAGAGCACTGCAGATCTTTCCCAAAGCATTGTCTCCACGGATTCTTTCATATAGTTTTTATATATAAGAAAACTATATGAAAGAATCTTGTAACCTCAACAATATTGTGTTGAGTCAGGGACAAGGGCAAGGCTTTTCGTAGCTGCCGTTGCACCTGACACAATGCTAGGCTCCTAGGGGTATTAAAAAAATTTTTAAAGAATGTATCATTAGATGTAACTTGTTGAATACCTACTGTGTGTAAACCACAGTGCTAAGCTCTGTGATGAACAGAAAGATGGGTACATAAAGAGGTTCAATCCATGACTTCAAGTCATTTACAGTCTATCAGGGGAGATGACATTGTCATAGAAGTAGAAAGCAAACACTTGTGGTCCCAGCAGGGAAAGATTCTTCGTGGGGATTCAGAAAACGTATACAAGGAGCGTGTTCATTTAAATTGGGCTTGAAGGGTAAGTAGACTTTCGGTGAGTGAAGACAGACCAGGGAGGGATGGGAAGAGTCCTAGTTGGTTGGAAGGTGGGTTACATTTGGGAGACAGAGGGCAGAGAGGTGAGAACCATGGCTCTGACCTTAGACCAGGGAGGGTTTCAGAATGCATGCTCAGAAGTTTGGACTCTACTTCTTAGGCAGGGAAGCTATTGAGCATTTTGAAGCAACACAGCCTGAGCCTTAGAAGATCTTTCTGGCACTTGCATATCCAGCAGGTTGCACGTGGAAGCAGAGGTTAGAGGCAGGGAGAGTAGTTGAGAGGCGAATGCATCTTTGAATTGAGAGGAAATGAACGCCTGAATTAGGTGGCGGAAAGCAAAGGATAGGAAATGGAAAGCTAGCACTTGATAGATTTCTCATATATTTTTCTCATTTGACCTACACAACCTCTGGGAGATGAGTATTAGTTCGAGTTCCATCTGACGAATGCGGAATAAGGTAGCTGACTTGCCTAGGTCTTGCTCATCTCGTAAATGATGGGACCTTGCCAAAGGCCACTGTCTTCTTACCGGGGAGATGCCAGAGACAGAATCCGAGGAGCTGTTTGGTTGTGTAAAGGCTGGACCAGAGTGGGCATTTAGAGGTGACGGTTGAAACACTTAAAATGGAGGAGATCACAGAGAGAGCACCTCTCAAGCAGTATTTGGAAACACTGTCACTCACTAGCCCTTTGAAGTTAAAAAAAAAAGAAGAAAAAAATGCCAAAGAGAGTGCAAAAACCTAGAAAATGCAGTAAGTGAATTAGAACATTGGGGGAACATCCGCCACAAACTTGATCTTCTGAAGTGCAAGGTGAAGCATCTAGCCAAGGAGCTTAACCAGACAATAATGTGCCCTTCAGAGACGAGAAGGGACGGTCATCAAATCTAGTGGGAGAGGAGAAGGAGAAGTAGGTAGAGAACTAGAGTAGCGTGTGTGAGAAATCCAGGCAAGAGGTGACAGAGAAATAGAGGGGAAGGGACTTCCCTGGTGGTCCAGGGGTTAAGAATCCGCCTTCCAATGCAGGGGATGCGGGTTTGATCCCTGGTCAGGGAGCCAAGATCCCACATGCAGTGGGGCAAGTAAGCCCGCACACCACAACTACTGAGCCCATGTGCCACAACTAGAGAGACACCCACGTGCCACAACAAAAGACCCCGCATGCCACAACTAAGACCTGATGCAGCCAAAAAAAAAAGATGAGCAAGTGAGTGGGAGGGGGAAAAAAAGCATAAAGAGAAGGGGAAAATGCTTGGATTAATGTCATTTATTCATTTCTCTCTTCCTGCCTCCCTCCCTCCCACTCTTCCTTCCTTCTTTGCTCTTTGATCTACTTTGTGCCAGGCAGTAAGTCAGGCTCAGAGATACAAATAAGTCACTCTGAG